TCTATTTGAAAAGTGTCCTGAGATAACTTTTGTTATGAATTGGTGCTATACAAATAAAATTTAATTGAATTGAATTTTCATTTTAAAAACATACTTTTATTTGTTTTATTTGAGTACATTTCATGAAATTGTCCTGAAAAATGTGCTCTCAACACAGCACATTGTTTTATCAGAGCTGGTTAAGAAATGTATGTGATAAGTCATATGACACAATGAGACAGTTACATAGAGTAAACCAAACTGTTTTTATTATGTGTTATCAAGCAAGTAAATTCAGATTTTTTTTTAAGATAGCTTAGTTATTTTAGTTACTAAAATTAATTTATTCAGGAAGTTCCATTGTGATCAAAATGTCTTATAAGAGAGGCCTGAGCATACAGTACAACAGCACGGGAAATGACTAAAATTATGCAGCTGGTGCAGGGCAACTATGTTCTATTATATGTTGTCATCTTGGTTAAATTGGTGGAAGAGATTTCGATGATATTTCAAAATACGGTTCTTCTTTCAGAACACATCTTCTATTTTAAACATAGTAATTAATATGATGAACTATTCTGTCTTTTACTATTTCAGATGATTTCTTCATGGCCCTGTCCTGTGATTTTTCTCATCAGTGTATGGAAAAGGAAACGTGACAAAAAACGTGAGACGCCAACTCACCTCCTTCCATGTACTGCTGTGATGTGAAGGGCGTCAACAATATCCTCTCATCTTTTCTCATCATTCCATTACATCCTTAAAAAAAGATTATGTTTTCTGTATTTGTTGACTGTTTACACTGCATGGCATGGCTCAGCTTTACTCGACTTACGCGCTTTTGGTACCAGATACTTTTGCTCAGTTTAGTTCTTAACTAAAGCTGATCCTCCTTTAATGTTGGTGGGAATCTTGACACACACAGGAACAATAGAAGATTTCCTTTTGAGATCCTTTCATCGGCAGCTGAACACAGGACTTAGATGACAAAGAGGCCAAACTTAAAGAATTACAAAAGACCGATGAAAAACCGAACAATTTGGTATACAAAGTTACCACTTACATGAACCTATTAAGGATTCTGGAGAACCAGAGGGAGCTTTTCAGACTGCAGCTAGAAGATATGGAGAAAGACAAGGAGGACAACAGGGAAAAGGTTCAGGCAGCTCCCTCTGGTTCTCCAGAATTCTTAATAGGTTCATTAATTAATAACAGAGAGTGAGACAGAAAGGGCAACTGATCAAACAGAAGGACACTTGAGAGAAAAAACAAAGGCTGTTAAATGCTCAGTGCAAACTGGAGAGGAGAAAGGAAGAACTGAAGAAACTGCAGCTAAACACACAGAAACTATTAGAAAGTGAAGAGGGACAGGGCAATCTCAACAGACTGACAGAACGGAAGACAAATTTAGAGATTTACAAGGGGCAACTTCATGAACAGCTGCAAGGGACAGAGACAGTTGGATGAGCTCAATCATTAATCCGTTTTATTGTTTTATGTTGTTTTGTTAAAGAAATAAGACTACAATTTCATTCTTGACCTTTGAAAGATTAGACATATCTATGTGTACATTTCTATGACAACCCTATCTGCTCAGGAAGACTGTGTGATATGATTAAAAGCGCCAGAATCTGATTGGACCTTGAAACTGTCCATCTCAACTCCTGTGTCCAAGGTCAAGAATCAACTTTTAGTCTCAACTTCAGCTGCCTAAACCAAAGTAACCCATAATGTCAGCAGAGGCAGATCTGAAACGTCATGATTTTTAGCCATGCTAGCTGCATCGATGGCATTGTGGTTGGACAGTTGGGTCAGACACTTTGGTCCAGACTGAAAGCTCTCAACAACTGTTGCATGGATTGCCTTCAAATTCTTTACCCACATTAATAGTGCTTACTTATTTACAGAGGGTAAAAGTGAAAGAAAGTTTTGGATTATATCTGGCTGCTATCGCTCTCAGATTAAATATTAACCCATTATACGCGCTGGAAAATAAAACCCAACACTGTAAAATCCTACAGGAAGTTTGATTTTATTTGCATGTTTTTTCTTTTCCTGTTGTGAACTGAAAAACATAAATTATCTAAAAACTGTAGTAAAGATGTATTTAGTTTGTCCTAACAGTGTTGGAGAGGAACAGAATAAAATATACTCTTGTAACTGAAGTCTGGACCCTTGATTCTGTCATAGATTATTTTCCCATCAGAATTAAAGCATAAAATCAAGTACACAGCACTGTAATGAATTTAATAGGAAGTGTTTACACATTGATTTTGTTAACTTGAACCATGTAGTAGTTTAAACCTCTCAGGGTTTTGATATCAAACATCAGTTATTCATTAACTCACTGACACAGGATCATTATACAGGATACAAAAACTATTGTCATTCACGTGGCAACAAACCAAAACTGTAGGAGTTTGTTCAGAGAAGAAAAACTCCAAACTCCAATAAATATTAATAATATTGTATTTGAAACATACAACAATATTGTCTATGGTTATTTAAATGCAGTCTAGAATAATATATGCACAGAGGTCAAAGTACAGTTGGGTTCTTTTTTTTTTTTCAACTGAAGGACTTAAGCCATACAGCTTCGTAATCACAGAGGACTGACTCAGAGATACAACAGGTATGTGCCTTTTACTGAGTTAATCTATTGTTATTTCAATTTTGATTCGCTTTCACTACCTTTTCATTCTAAAGTATGTGTCATTCCATACGGTGGAGCAAAAGCAAACTGGTTTTTTTCAAAGTTGATGAAAGCGTAATTAGTACAATTCTGTACGTACCACAGGGTTGCTGCCAACTACTGTATGTGCTAGTGTGTTTAGCTTATTAATATTCAATGCTTTCTAGCTTTGGAGTTTTAATCATTCACAAACTGCCTGCATTAAGTATCTTTGTATCTACGTTTCATGTGCTTCTGAGTTGAAAAATGTAAGCAAGAACTCAGTATTTTTTGAATCACTGATTAAGAATAATTTTATTTAGCTTGGTTTGCTACTAGCTTCTGCTTGTCTGGCATAAGCTTGCTTGCTACCTGCCAACATAGCTTGGTTCTGGCAATTAACATTTTACAATTTAACTTTTGTTTTTACAGTACTCCAGGATGGTTTGCCTGAATTACGGACTGTTCCTTAAAAGGAAGCTCAGTCCCCTCAGCTTGGTTGTCCTGACACATTGTTGTGCAGGTACCGTACACACTTACGTCAGTACCAGTGGAGAACTGGTGGAGATCCCAATTTCACTCCAGATGGCATACATAAAATTTGGAATCAAAAAATGGCTCTGCTAATTTTGTATAAACAACGAAGGGATTGTGCAATTGATATTGATACAAATAGTCATAGTCATAAATATGTATATGCAACCTGGTATCCTGCCACGCTATCCATGTTTTGATGTGATACTCAGAATCAGAAATCCAAAATCTTATAATAACCCAGGGGGAAATACTTTCGTTACAACTCCAAATCTACATCACAACACTATAATAGAACATATCTATATATAAATATATATATAAACATATCTATATACACAAGGTAAAGTTGAGGTCTGAATACTGAGGTCAATAGCAATAAAAAATACATATATATTTTTCCTCTGCATAATTCATACTCTTCATGCCTATATGAGGCAAAATGTGACACTGACACAGTATCTTCTAGTGGACTGACATTGGTGTGAGATTGGGCTGCTATTTACATTGTATCACATTGTTCTTCAGGTTCCTCAGTACCCTTAAAGTCTGGTCGCGATGCAGGTGAGCTACCTGAGACACAGAGAAAGCCCACACCAACAGTACATATCCTAGTCTATGACTTCAATATACTGCTGTTATAATAATCTATCCAGTTAGATGAGTTTGTGTCACAATTAATTAAAGCAAATGTACAATTAAGAGATAGTTGTTTTGCAAAATGTTTTTGAATACCCTGTGTTCTATCATTTTAGCTGCCGACATTTTCACACCTCCATCTTGCTGTGCTTACTGTTCCGTTGTTGGCTTGGGTAGTGGCTTAGCTGGTGGCTTCGTGTTAGTCATAGCTGCCTTGATAGTCTGGAAATGGAAAAAATCAAAAATCTGTAAGTAAAAAAATAAAAAAATATAATAATTATATATATCATTTTTATGATATATATAATTTTTTTTTTTATGAGTGATATAAATTACTTTAATACTAAAACAGACAGACTCATTTTGAGAGAAAAAGCATACATTCAACTACCTTTTTTTTGCTGGTAAATATTTTATTCTATATTATTTTTATTATTATTATTTATTCATGTGTTTCCTTCCCTCAACATATCATCTCTGTCTTATTCAGTATTATGCATTTTCTCAGCCAAAAGAAAGGGTTCGGCTGATAAAGAGGCTCAACTCCGGAAAGAATCCCAGAAGACTCAAGAAGAACTGGACTACTGCGGAGTGGTTTTGTCTCAACTGCTGGAACTGACCAGCGGACTGGGGAAACAAAAAGAGGAATTCAGACTGCAGTTAGAAGAGATAGAGAAGGAGAGGGAGGAAAACAAAGACAAGCTTAATGCAGTAGAGAAGGAGATAAAACAGAGTGAGAAAGAAAAGGCAACTGACAAAACGGAAGGGTACTTGAAAGAACAACAACATCTGTTGAACGCTGAGTCGAAACTGGATAAACGGAAGGAAAACCTGGAGAAGCAGCAGCTGGACGTGGAGAGACTGCTGAAGAAGACAAAGGCTCTGATGGCAAAAGCAACAGAGAGGAAGACAAAAGCAGAAAACCACATGCAGCTGATTCAGTTGCACCTGGAAGAGTTAGAAAGTGACGACGATAAATCTCACCTCCACAGAGAGTAATCAGAAGGTCCAGTTTTGGTTCTGTAATGATAGAAACTAGTACTTTTTCCTTTCTGCTAATACTATAATGACCCAGGCAGCCATAATGTCTTTATGTTTTAATAGGAGAAACCTTATTAAAACAACCACACTCCTCAGATGGAAGACTTTCATTTACCAGTTCTGATCTGTATATGTGGAGTTTTATTGATATGAATTGTTCCAGTGTGGTGATTATATTCTCACATAGATTTTCTTTAATGCTGATATTTTAATACTCATGGCTGGGTATTGTGCTGTCAAGTAGTTTGTTGATTTCAGATAGAAAATGCTAAAGTATACAAAATGATATGTATATAAAATGATAGTTATCACGCCATTCAACAACTGGTTTACAAAGTAGTGTCTGGATTAGTGTCTTTGTTGTGATGAAATTGTGATGCGGAATTGTCATCTTTTGAAATAAACTGTAATGTGATGATTGAATCCTCTGTGAGAATCTACATATGACTGTGTGTGAGATGAACAGAATACACTCCTGTCACAAGATGAAGTAATAAATCTTGATCCTTGCTCGTGATGTCTGTTGTAATTCACTTTTCCATCAGAATTAAAGCAGTAAATCAAACTTTTTACATTTTCTAAAAACAAAACACAACAGTAAAGGTGGCCTAAAATTACAGAACCGTAGTTGAGCCTGTATATAAATGTCTCTCCTCCACACTGAAATCGAAAGTGACACAATTAACGTGGCTTGAACCATGTTTTCAACATCAGGGATAGGTTTTAGATTAAACAGTAGAATTCAGTCCAGTTACTCATTAACTTGCTAGCACAGGCTTCTAATACAGGATGCAGATTATTGGCGGTTAAGAAACAAACAAAAGCTGCAGGAGGTGTGGTCAGTTAGAAACAACTGAAAACAGAAATTACAGAATGACAGCCTGTAATTACTATTGTAGCCTTAAAGCAGACTGATAACATACAACAACTTTGTGTGGGATTATTCTAATACAGTTTAGAAGTGAATACTAGCACAAAGGAAACACCCACTGGGTCAAAGTCTGTCTCTTTTTTTATTTTTTATTGAAGGACTTTGGCGGTTGAGCTTTATAGTCTCAGGAGAGATCTGACTCAGAACAGGTATGTTCCTTTTGTTGAGTGAATTTCAGTTTTAATGGTTTCCACTAAACTACCGTTTCATTATAAAGAAATTGTCATTGCTGATTGTGGAGCAAAAGCTTTCTTGTTGTTTACACAGTCTGTAAAAGCCTGCAGTAGTGTTGCCAACTATTTCTCACAGTGTGTTTGCCTCGTCTTATTACATGCTGTAAGTCAAAAAGAATCTCCCTTAACGGGTCAATCTCAATGTGAATTATTGCACAAATAAATCATTTTTAATAATTATTGTTTAAACAAAAAAATCTTCAAATTACAATCATACAGTAACAAGGACATAACACCGAAGCAACAAAAAGTACATGTGGCCAGGGAACAGGACTTCATGTTACATTATTTAAATGTAATTGTTTATTTAAATGTAATTTATACATTCACTTTTGATCAGGCTTTTTTGCGGCGGAAGGAGTTTGGACATTTTTCTCCTCAAGGTCAGAATCTCAAACCACTATTCTTGGGGTTCCTATTTTTTTCCTAATGTTTCACTTATTCATAAAACCTTTATAATGAAACAAGTAGTGTAAAAGCGCTTTGAGTGGTCGGAAGACTAGAAAGGCGCTATAGAAGTACTGGTCCATTTACCATTTACCAGGTCCATAACTTCAGAATGCCAGAAAATTAGTTTCTGATACAGATACAGTAAGCGTCTGCCATAAGGCTCTGGCACAGTAGCACTGTGAGGAGTGGTGTATCATGCTTTATGTAGCAATGTGGTCTGGCAGATGTCAGGTTTATTGTATAGGAGGATTTATGGTCTGGCTGGTTCTTGTGGTTTGGGATGGCCCTCTTAATCTAATCTAATTCTAATGTTAATCATAAAAGTGAATAGTTGACAACTTTCTGGCATCAGTTTAGTGAAGTAAATCAATATTAATAATGTATTATATTCCTATTTTATGCATGTAATGGGATTATGAGCATTTATTGTATTTGGTTTGGAAGCTAACGAAAGCTATAGCTATTTTAATCATTGTCAGCATTTTGGCTCTTTCTTTCTGGCAATTAAAATTTCAAAATCTGTTTATATTTCCCCAGAACTCCAGGATGCTATGTGTAAATGATGGACTGTTCCTTAAGCCTATCGGGTCCTTCAGCGCTTTGGTCACCGTGATCCTCCTTCTACTGGCTGAATGTAGAGGTAACTTACAAAACATCAGCACCAGGTGAAGCCAGTACAGTATAAAAGCAGACAAAAAGATAAAATAATTTCCTTCTTTTACTTAAAATACCACTTATCACAGTCAGCAGTAATTCTGTACACAAGTTCTGATTGTAGGATTTCACAATCTGTGTCTTTCCAGGCCAGTCCCAGGGGGTTGGACCAGCTCAAACAATAGTGACTTTACTTGGTGAAGACGTCACGTTGCCATGCCACCTGGAACCTGCAGCTGATGTTTTTTCCAAGAGTGTGGAGTGGGGGAGACCTGACCTGGACCCCAGATTTGTCCACGTGTGGCATGAAGGTCAAAACTTTCTGGTCAACCAAAACCCGTCTTACAAAGGAAGAACATCGCTGTCCATCGAGAACCTGAGGCAGGGAGACCTTTCACTGAGACTCTCTGCAGTGAAACTCTCCGATAATGGACTGTACAGATGCTACTTTCCCTCACAGGATAAAACATCTACTGTTGAGCTCGTTGTTGGTGAGTGGGCTATTTTTTTTTTATGTATATCTTTTAGAAAGTTTGAAAGTGAAGTGCATAGTTTCTCTGTATCTGGCAGAGTATCATGCAGCTGCGGGAGATAGCCTTCCTCTCTTTGTGTCTGTTCAGGTCCACCACATTTTAGATCAGGTCTAATTTCTAGTCCACTAGCTTTTGAAACAAACTACTTCATCATTTTAGATTTCAGTTTTAGTATGAATACTTCTAATACAATATCATCAACTGGAGTATTGGTCAGCTTTTCAACAGTTACATATTTAACCAGGAGAGGGCATCTCAATCTATTTTATCCACCAAAATGGCATTTACATGTGCATTGTTTTTTTAATATGACGTTTACATGGAACATGAAAATGAAAATACATGACCTGACCAGCTGCCTGCAGGTGTGTCTTGCTTTATTACCATCCTAACCACTATAAGATGCTTCAGAAACCTAGGTAAGGTGTTTACATACCATAGTATTCTGGTTTCTATGTAATAATCTAGGTAGTATATTCTGGTTTCTCAAAACCAGAATAAGTTGTTTAGATGTGCAAAATATAACCAGGACACTTCAAACACCCAATCATGACCAGGTTAACAGTAAAAAAAAAAAAACAAAGTTAAAAGCAATCTATTTCATTGGTAGACTTGTCCCCCTGTACAGTGTACTGTATATAAATGGTATATAAATGCAATTGATGTTTTCAAAATGTCTTCCCTCTGCAATCACCAGGTTCTTACGCCTCACCGGTCATAGCTGGGATTAACATAGACAGCAGTGGAGTGGTTCTAC